AAATGAGTTAACTAAATAGTACGTTTAGTACCCCTGCCACACAAAAAAGGTAATATATTTTCATTAAATGATATGAAATTTATTCAGTTCACGGTCTTGAGTGATTATACTACCGTCACAAGCTGATTTGTCTAATGTCACTCGATCGAAATTACATTAACTTTGCCATGTGTCCGGGATATAATGCAAGAATTCAGTAGCTCCACGGGATAACAACCGCTTGCATGATCTTAAATGACACTTATCTTGCCGTGCCCGCGTTGACTACGTCTACCTGATTTTTGTTTGCGCGCAAATAGAAAGGTACAGAGAAGAGGGAAGAGAGAAGAGACAAGCGCAAACTCAAAACTCGATGTATTGAAGGAAGAAAAAAGAACAGGCCCTCGGTATCAGCTCGAGCCGAGGCCACATTCGCACGGGTGCACCCGAGCACGCGGAGGACACACACCATCAACCACACTCGAACGACTGTAGAAAGGCTATTTCCTTGTCGGTTGGAGTGAGTGGATGCATTTCACACGGGCTCTGCGATTTTTCGTCGATTTCCGTAGCTTTTTGAAGTTTTCACCCCAGATTTTCGGTGAATCGAGCGGTGGAGTACGCAAGGACCACGGAGGCACAACATATTGGGCAAGTGGACCACTTCTTCGCCATTTTTCAGCTTTTCGAGATCCGCATCGCATGTGGAGCATTTAAGCCTAACGGGCGCCTCACCGCGCTAAGCCTACTGAGTCGACTGAGTCCGCGGCGGCCCTACCCGAGGTCAATCGGCGCTCGCCGTCGAAGAATTTAAACATGGAGGTCACTGTTGAGGGTAAGCTCATCCGACCCGAGGAGCTGGAAGTGCCAAACCAATGGTTTACCAGCCGAAAATCGAAGATTGTCCCGTTGGAAAGTATTACGCGCGAAAGTGACCAAAGCCGCGCCCCGACAAAGGCAATGGGTAGAAAGATGGCGCTGAAGTCCATAGAGCGCAGGCAGATGCGCATGCCGACGGAGGCGGCGAAGATCGTGCTCAGGCCGCGTGGAGGCCTGACGAAGCTGATCCAATATGGGACGGCCCACCTGGGCGACGTCATCAAAGCCGCAGCCGGGATCGATCCCAAGGAAGAGGGCGACGATATATTCTCGCCGAACTTGAAACAACAGTCCATTCTCGTCGGGACCACGTGCGAGAAGCGAAAGTTTAAGTACGCCTGCATCAAGCCGATAATGCTCGACGGGGAGTGTGTCGAAACCTCTGCCTACGTGGCCACCCCGGAGGATTGTGGCAAGGGGGTGATATACGACATCCCACTCTTCTACACGATAGAAGACATCAAGACCAGACTCGACCGCCGCGACAACCCTAAGATTCTGGGAGTCAGAAGATTGGGCAAGGAGTCGAAGGCCGTGATGCTACTGTTCGAAGAGAACACGGTACCAAGATAAATCCTTTTTGGAGGCGTCCCATTGAGATGCCAACTTTATAAGAAGAAATTTGAGATCTGCAACGCCTGCGGACGCCTGGGTCATCGGGACGACGTCTGCCCCGACCCGAAGAACGTCAGGTGCCGCGGTTGCGATCTCGAAAGGCCACCGAAGGACCATAGCTGCGAGCCCAAGTGTCAACTGTGTGGCAAAGGGCATACACTGGGCGACTAGAAATGCCGGGAGATTTTCCGGACATCCCACGTCGTCAAGAAGAAGCAGTGGGATCGGAAACAACGTCAGACCGACTCATCAGAACGCCAGAGCCGACCGAGAGAGCCGAAGCCGGAGAAGGGCTACAAGGTCCGAGACGAGTTCTTCCCAAGATTGGATACAAGGAATCCGGTGGAACCCAGAGGCCGATCCGGCTCCCGGGTCAACTCCAGGGGAAGAAGCCAGGCCAGGGGGCGTTCCAGCTCCAGAGGCCTGGCCAACCCACGAAAACGAGGTTGGAGCCAGGAGCGTAAGGGCGTGAGCTTCGCAAAGGCGGTCACCCAGGCTAAGGAAGATAAAAGAGCTGACGAGATTGATCAGTTAAAGAAATTGGTTGAAAAATTAGGCGGGATTGTGGAATCTCAGAAGGTAGAGATTCAAAATTAAAAAAAAAAAACAGGGGCCACCGATTCCTCCCCCGCCTCAGCCACGGCCCGTGGCCCCGGAGCCGCCGTCAAGCGAGGACAAAATGGTTACCGAGGCGACCCTCCCACCCCCGCTGAAGCGCAAACTTTGTCGCGTTTCGGCGGAAGCCACGAATGAACGACCACCACGAAGTTCTGTGCAGAGCCAAAAAGCCCTTGTTTATTCTTTTTCAATCCTTTTATACTGTCTGCCCAGGCGGGTGGTTCCCGTTTCGACCCATTCCCAATACAACCTTCCCGTTTGTACCTTCCCGTTTCGACCCGGCTCAAAACGACCTTCCCGTTTCATCCTTTCCCATTTCGCCCTTTCCCGAAACAACCTTTCCGTTTCGGCCACCGTTCGGTTCGTTTGTATTGCTCGTTAACAGTTGAGTAGGTACAAGTGTTCAGTGTCTGAACACTTGTACCTACTCATATAGCGCTCCGTAATCCCCCACAAGACCTTGAACTATACAGAGAAGGCTGGGGGCGCGCATGCGCAGCTGTGGCGTTTTCTTCGGGGATATCGTAGCGGAGGAGAAAAACGATCTACTACAACTCCCTATTGTACAGAGCGCGAAACCGTTAGCGCGAGGAAACGATTGTTGGTTTTAGCTGTTTGTCTAAAAAAAAAAAATCTGAAGACTGCCATCAATATTATTAGTGTATTTGAAAGTGCTCATCTGGTCCACTAACCTAAGCGATAAAATGTTCTACCTTCTAATACCATTTCGAAGTGAAATTTAAAAAAATTGCCAACATCGTGTTTGTGGTAACGTTGTCGCGCAGTGTACGAAGTCCATTATGTGGTTACACATTTTGGGGACCATCTTGAAAGAAACATTTTAAGTGGTTTAAGTAGAAATATATTTTGTTGAAGCTTGTCTGAAAGTATTGCATATTTTAAGAATACGTTTACAAGAAAAAATATTTCCCAACATAACTGAATTGCTCGCCTTTGCATTAATTGCATTAACATGATTTCGGGACATATTTTTAAGCAGAAATACTGCGCAGACCAGGAATACAACGATGGACACTTTTAGCGAAGAGGTTGAGATGTGCGGAGCTTTTTACCAACGGGTTCAAGCGGGACAAATTCAAACAAAAAATATGTCTTGGCTAAGGGTTCAAATATGAAGGGCGCTTCGGGAATGGGTTGAAACGAGATAGGTTCAAACGGGAAGGTCGTTTCGGGAATGGGTCTTAACGGGACGGGTTCAAACGGGAAGGTCGTTTCGGGAATGGGTCAAAACGGGACGGGTTTAAACGGGAATGGGTTGTTTCGGGCTACACCCGCCCAGGCAGCATGACGCAGCGATATGCTGGCGCGTAGCCAGCGATATAGGATATCGCTTCAACTTTTTTTTTTTCACAAAAGCAAAGCACAACTTCCAATCAGAACTCAGATTGTACAAAAGAAAACAAAACAACGAAGCAAAAAACGCTGTTACATAAACTACGCATTTATATAATTCTTCCCGCACATTTTCAAGGCTAACACGTATCACTTGAATACACAACCAGAAACATTGTCACTTCACTCAGCAATTTCAAGCATCTGTAACATTTTTTTACCTACTCATCAATACCCAATCTTTTAGGTGTCCGAATTGTTCGCCCATACCGCGTGATGACGACGGGAGAGTCATTGGACTCTCTTGACGTTACAGGCACGGAAACCAAAGCACTTGATTGAACTGTGTTCGATACCATCTCGTCCTCCCCTCTGTTCATGCTGGCTGGGAAATCGTAGCTTCCTCCGGTTTCTTGTTGTCGCGGCAAAAACCGCAAACTCGTCCTGTTCCGCACTAGGGTAACCCCAGATGACGTTTGTACCTCGTAGGACCTTGGCCTTCTGGCTGGAGCTACGACCTCCGTGTTCGCCTTCATGTCCGTCACCCATACCCGATCGCCGATGTGAAGAGTCCGCAACGCTTTTGCTTCGTGTCGCTTGTTAAGCCCTTGAGGCTGCTTATCTCTTGCGCTGTGGTCTTTTCGGATCAACTCCGCTTGACTCAGGTTTGTTGGATGCAGTTGTTCGGGTATCATGGGTAGCCTCGTGAAACAGTATCTGCCAAATGGCGTGATAAACGTTGTCAGTTCTTGGCATGCTTCCGATAGTTTAATCTGGTGAAAACCCGAGTTAGCATCCAGCTTTGAAAAAACCGATGCGTCACCAAGCAGGCCGAGTGTTTGTTCGACTGTTGGCAGAACATACCGTTCCCGACGGACACTTTTATTTAATTGCGTCAAATCCACGCAAATACGAACCGCGCCTGACGGTTTTAGTACTGGCACAATTCCTGCGCACCATTCTGTGGATCCTTCCACCTTACGTATTACGCCTAGTTTTTCCATTTTGGCTATTTCGCTTTTTACAGCTTCCATCATAGGAATGGGAACCCTCCGTGCTGTATTAACACCGAAAGGTGCGGCGTGCGGGGTGAGCTGGATGGTGTATTCCCCTTGAAACGTACCTAAGCTGTTGAACAGCTGCAGGTACAAAACGTCGTAGCGTTCGTTTTTGCCGATGCTATCTACAAATTTAATGACCCCCAAGGACAAAATCGCCGTTAGGCCTAGCAACACTTCACGCAAAGGGCTCATGACATACACTGTTTGACAAGACACCTTATCTTTCCATTGTATTTCTGTCGTAAATTTTCCCAAGACCGTGAATCGCTTTTCGTTTGCCCTCACCAAAAGTTCCTCGACTCGATCCAGCTTAGTCGGGATGCCTGGAAACGTACATGGCACAACAGACACTTCGGCACCCGAGTCTACTTTTGCAAAAACAGGAACACCGTTAACGGTTATCTGCACATACCGTGCTTTCGCGGCCGCTGTATCTGCAGGTTGTTTAAACAGATATACAGGTTTTTCTTCAAGGGCAAGCTCTCGTACCTTTTTCGGTTTCCCCGCCCCAGTTCTGCAAACCTTGCTGAAATGGCCTCGGTTGCTGCAGTTGAAGCACTTGGCTGTTCTCGCTGGACAGGCTGACAGTGGGTGCTGGTTCCCTACACAGGACGAACAGGGCCCCTTCCGAGACGACGCCAGTTTTTCACTTCCTTGACGCCACGATGTTTTACTGTGCCGCCTTACTTCATCGATGTTCACGTCCTCAGATGTTGCCGGCGATTCCTCGGGACGCAGTTCTCGTTGCTGCTGTCGTACTGTCTCTTTCAACCTTGCTTTCGCCAACGCAGAAGCAAGCGTAAGCTGCGAGTCCATCTGAAGCGTTCCCGACAGCTTTCCGTCCCGCATGCCGACAACCAGTCGATCACGCAGTATTCGTTGTTTAAAGTCCCCAAAATCACAGCGGTCTGCTAGGGTGTGAAGCGCTGTCACGTAATGGTCGATGGTCTCGTCTGGATTATGCACACGCCGTTGAAAGCAGGCGCTCTCGTAGACGACGTTTCTTTCTTTCACGAAGTGCTCATTAAACTTCTTTTGGACTTTCTCGTAGTCTTTCGAGTCCTCCTCGCTCAGGCCGAAGGTTGCAAAAATTTGTCGTCCCTGCCTTCCTAGGGTATAGAGGGGGGTTCTGACCTGAGCCTCGCCGCTTCTTTCGTTGAGACCGCTTGCGAACCGGTAGTCTTCGAACTATTGAATCCACACTGGCCATTCTGACGCTTTGTCAAAGTCCAGTTTAGGTGGTCGTTGCAGTCCTAGTCCCCCTTGAGCTGGTACCGGCGTCCCCATGGCTTGCTCTTCGTGCATATTCCTGGTCAGACGCACCCCACTCCTGACACCATGTCGCGTTTCGGCGGAAGCCACGAATGAACGACCAGCACGAAGTTCTGTGCAGAGCCAAAAAGCCCCCGTTCATTCTTTTTCAATCCTTTTATACTGTCTGCCCATGCAGCATGACGCAGCGATATGCTGGCGCGTAGCCAGCGATATAAGATATCGCTTCAAATTTAAGGACGCGGACCCTGGTCAGACGTTGGAAGGTAGAATGATGAAACTGGAAAACACATTAGACGAGTTCATTATTAACATCAATACCCAAGTTCAGGCCATTCTGGGCGCTATCCAGAAGCAGGCAGAGGCTATTCAGAAACAAGCTGAAGAGTCTCAGACATTGCGTACCGAGTTGGTTGCCAATAATATTTGGCAGCAAAATATCGAGCATGTTGTTTCAAAATTGCAAAATAGCCAGTCGTGCTGAGAACCAAATTTGGCAGTAAAACTGTCGTGGCTTCCGCCGTAAGCGGCCAATTCTGCAGTGATATCTTCCGCTACTGACCATCACGCCACTCGCGATTGCGCTTCAGGAGAGGGGGGGACCTGCGAAAATGTCAGAATATCAGGCGTTTCATAGCGACCGGTGCGAGAAATCGACGGTCGCGACACTTGTGAAACGAAACTTCGCGGTGATAGAACACGATCTCGATTTGCGGGAGATCGAGAACGTCTTCGTCGAAATTTTAACGGGCAAAAAAACGGAACCCAGTCTCTTTTTCTTGAATATATACAGCTCGCCTAAACAAAGAAAGGTTAGGTTCAGGCCCTGCTCCGAAAAACTCTCAAAATTAGCGGAAACCGGCCTCTAGGGGTTGTGGGGGATTTCAACGCGCATCATCAGGCCTGGGGGTACTCTCATCAGTGCCCAAAAGGTAGACAATTGTGGGAGGACATGTAAGACCAGGGGCTTTTGTTACACACTGACCCTGATAGCCCCACGCGAGTGGGCAACAGCGTTAGTGTGGATACGTCCCCAGATCTCACCCTCTCCAAGAACGTCCGCGGCCTTGAATGGCACAATTCAGAGATAAATTTTGGGAGCGACCACTACATACTGGTATCCCTCCTCAAAGAAGGCCTTAAAACGCGCAGAGCACGCGCGCCAGCCACCGTCGAATGTGACCATTTTAGAACAATCAGATCCAACCAGGAAGGGAAGCCCATTTGCGACATCGGGGATTGGGCGGAACAGCTAAAATCGAACGTCGGCGAGGTTACCAAAACCTTAGAAGGTGAAGACGCCCCCGAGATTGCCGATAGCCGCCTCCTGCATATGTGGGAGGCTAAGCAAAGCATGGAAAGACGTCTAAGGGCACAAAAATGAAACCGCTCCCTCCGGAGAAGGTTAGCGCGACACAACAAGGAAATTGAGGATTACTCCTTTAAATTATGCGAACAAAATTGGGGCAACAAATGCGACCAGATGGAAGGCGAGATGAACCTCGCTAGAACGTGGGGTTTGCTCCGCCATTTGCTCGACCCGGAAAATTCGAAAACCCAATTGGGAACCAGACTCGCCAAAGCTCGACAGGCTTTTGACGGCGGCGACGACGATTTCATGCAGAAACTAATAGAAAAGTACGTAGGTGAGACCCATCAAACTCCCCTTCCAGACTATGATGGCGCGCACAACGAGGCGCTTGATGCCCCCATCACTGAAGCGGAAGTTAGAGCGGAATTAGTTAGGCTCCGCACAAAGTCTGCCCCGGGTCCTGACGAGATTACAAATAAAATGCTCAGGAACTTGGATGATACCTCCATAGGTTACCTAACGGAGTACATGCGAGAATGCTGGGACAAAGGCGAGCTGCCGCAGCAATGGAAAACGGCAAAAGTCACCTTAATACCCAAGCCGGGCAAGCCTCCGCAGCTCGGGAATCTCAGGCCCATATCGCTTACCTCGTACATAGGAAAGCTAATGGAGCACGTCATCCAGACGAGATGAATCGAATACCTGGAAAAGCAGGACCTCTTGCCGCAACCAATGATCGGGTTCCGCCCTCATCTGTGCACGCAGGATATCATGCTTCAGATTAAATACGACATTGTCGACTCGCGGTCTAAAGATGCGGAGGTGATCCTAGGGCTAGACCTGATGAAAGCCTTCGACAACGTAAAGCACAAGTCGGTACTTACCGGACTTAGCAATCTAAATGTGGGCACTAAAACTTTCAATTACGTGCGAAACTTCCCTTCCGGCAGGACGGCCTGCGTAAAATTCCAATCTATCGAATCTTCCATTCTTGAGCTTGGCAGCAGGGGCACGCCCCAGGGCTCGGTGTTGTCCCCCCTCCTCTTTAACGTGGCCATGTGCGCGCTCCCCGGGCAGTTGGAACGCATCGAGGGGCTACAATTCAGCCTCTACTCAGATGACATTACCTTATGGGTCAACCGGGGTTGACTCGGAAATTGAACAAAGGCTCCAGGCGGCGACCGACACAATCGTGAGGTACGCGGCCGAGCGAGGAGTGGCTTGTTCGCCACAAAAATCGGAACTATTCGTCTACAACCCTAAGCATCTCCGGTGTAAGGCACCGTCGGATATTCTAATTCAGGTAGCGGGAGCAGAGGTCCCAAAAGTAGAACAGATACGAATTCTCGGCCTAGTTCTCCAGTCTCACGGCCACAACGGAGAGACTCTAAAGCGATTGGAGAGCCACGTGATGCAGACACTGAGCCTCATCAGGCGGGTTGCGAGCAAAGGGCGAGGATTAAAAGAAAATAATTTAATGAGGCTGGTAGAAGCTTTCATATTCAGCAGAGTTAGCTACTCTACGCCTTATCTCGACTTAAAGTCGGCATAAAAGATGAAAATTGACGGATTAATACGTAGATGCGTCAAGCGCGCGCTGGGCCTGCCCACGTGCGCATCCACGGAGCGACTTTTGGCGCTCGGGATGCACAACACGTGGGTGGAACTGGCGGAAGCGGTGCGCACATCTCAGATTGAGAGATTGTGAGCCACAAAAATGGGCTGGACTATCCTGGCTAAAGTAGGAATCAATCCGCACAGGGGCCCAATCCTGAAGGCAGAAATTAAGGAGGGAATCAGAAGCTGGCTAACCATCCCCCCTTTACCTAAGAATATGCATCCCGAGCATAATAAGATCAGAAGAGAGAAGAGAGCAGAGGCCATTAGTCTCCGGTATAGGGAGCTGACCTCGGAGCAGGTAGCGAATGTGGACGCCGCTTGTGGCCACGACGGACGAGCGGTAGCCGCGGGAGTCAATGGCCGCGGAAATGCCGTTACCGCAGTCTCCTTAAGGACGCGCTCCGCTGCAGTGGCGGAGGAAGTTGCGGTAGCATTGGCTTGCTTCGGCACGGAAGCAAACTTCATCATAAGCGACAGTAAAACTGCCATCCAAAGTTTTAGTGCAGGCAGAATCTCGCCTGCGGTGGCGAAGATTCTCGATCAGCGACAAATTGCGAGGAAAATTACGTTGATCTGGACACCAGTACATGCCTCCGTCCCCGGCAACGAGGCGGCTCTCGAGCTAGCTCGAGGTTTATACCACCGGGGTGGTGAGGACCCCCCCTGGCAAGGGAGCGGTGAACGCATGGTAAAATATAGAGAAATTACTCAACATTACAGATTGGAACGTAGGCTGGTACCCCCACCAGACCCGTCATTAAATAATACGCAGGCAGTCGCGTGGCGACGACTCCAAACATACACGTACCCGCAACCAATCCTGGTGAACCATATGTACCCGGATATAAGATCAGACGAGTGTACACACTGTGGGTTGAGAGGGTCCCTCGACCATATAATCTGGGAATGCTAAAATTCTCCTGGGAGGGCGCTAAATATCGCTTCTAAAGAATCCTGGGAGACCCTGCTGCGCAGTTCGGACCCTGAGCTCCAGCTCCGCCTCGTCCGACTGGCTGAAGAGGCCGCCGGGACACAAGACCTCCTGGCCAGCATCTAAAGCGGTGCCTCCTGCCTCCCCGGCCTGGTGCCGAGGGGGCAGGGAGAATGCCAATTCTGTCGGACAATAAATGTTCTTTCCTCCTCCTCCTTGTCGGTTAAAGCCACAGAAGGATGGCTGACATAACGCTCGCCTAAGCGGAGTATACTAAAAGTTTCAAAAATTTCGCGAGTGTGTTTTTCGGTGAATCTTCCAATTATCGAGGTCTTTTGTAAAGAAGGTGTACACTTACACGCTTGACAATGCAGAGGTAGGTGACCCCCCACTGTTGAATTTAGAGAAAGATTGTGCTCCCTTAACCGGTCATTAATACTCCGTCCTGCCTGTCCTACGTAGGATCTGCCACAGGAAAGGGGAATGCTATAAACCACTCTGGTTGAACAGGGCACGTAAGGGCGGACGTGTTTTGTGCGACACCTCTGTTTTGTAATATTTTCTGGTTTTTCTCGAACTTTAGAACAAATTTAACCCATTTTTTGGGGTGCTGACATCAGTAAGGGGACTCCGTACCTATTGGCTACCTGTTCGAGATTGTGAGATATTCTGTGTATATACGGAACCACCACCACCCTTTTTTTGTCGATATCACGTGCAGCTTTTTCGCATCCTTTTACTTTTTTTATCAGAGTTCCTACCACTTCAGTTAGCACCTGTGCTGGAAACCCAGACGCTGTAAGCCTCTCAATTTGAGCATTAAAACTGCTTTTGATGGTGTGGAGGCATGACTTTTTTAGGGCTGAAGTAAGGCAGGAAAGAGCTATGCCTCTTTTTACGACTTTTGAGTGCGAGGACGTATAATGCAGTAAACCGTTTTTAGAACGGGGTGAAAATGACCAGCACGGGTGGTTTGTTTGCAAAGATAGGGAAAGGCCTAGAAATTACAAGACACGTTCCTTAGGAGTTTAACAGGAAA